GTCTGAATGGCGGGAGGTCCGGTGTGATCAACTAAGTTGGTTAGTCTGGTTTGGCCTTGTCACTGAGGTGCAATGCCTGTGGCAAATATACTAGTGCGTACAACATCCATTTAGCATATTCTTTGGATTCCGGAAGAGCTGGTGGCCTCACCGCGAAAAAGATAAAGAATCCAGTGTGAAAGTTCACACCAAAAGTCACCCTATCGTACAGCTGAAAAAAGTGGCCTCCGCGTGCTACTAACCAATCAAATATCGAAATATTCGATAACCTGTGCCTCTGGATGATTTTAAGAGAATATAGCTGCCCAGAACATTTTGTGTTCATTGTGAGGAAACTCTAAAAGGCGTGCAGATCTGTGCTATCACCAGGGGATCTTTTTCAAATACCTGCACTCCGTCCACTTGTGTGAACTACGGTTAGATATTCCCACTGCACTTGTTTGGATTCTGGCATGGAACTTGGCGGCTGAAAAGTTAGATTCGTGACCTGTTTCGAAAAAGTAGACAGTCGCTCGCGATAATTCGGTATCCCGTCGTACGACCAGCTTATGTTGGTATATGCGACATCCTAGCGTGCATTCAGTCTGACTTTCCTTGGGTTTGGTCAGTTTCATGACTGTTGCGCATGGTCGCTTTGGGTTGATGCGCGATTCCAATACCGAGTTTCACAACAACATCCCCCGTAGCCTCTGATACGTGGTCGATGTATGGCAGAGCCCACCATATCGTTGTTGGTGTTTGCGTTTGAGTCATCCGGGGGCGTGCACGCGAGCATTGGTTTACAAAAGCCTCCGAAGAGCCACTGCTCATAAATTGGTCGCGGAGATATCGGGCCGCATTTGATTTTTTCGGCGCTGCTGTGGTGAGTCTAAATCCGTTTGGAGTGAATTTTCGCACAGCCTTGTCTGCGAATCATTGGATAGTTATTGTGAAGACTCAGAAGTTAAGTGGTGTTTGTTGCCGCTCCGAAAACCGCCGTCTAAATCCCAATGGTTGTTGATTGGGCAATACTTTATACGACTGTCGCTTGTTCTGTTGCTGCTTTCATCTCTGACGATGGACGCCTGAACAAGTTAGAAAGTTCCGAAAAACAAATGGTTCCGGTGCCCGACCGATCTCCTGCTTCCTTATTCTCACATACATCTGGAACTCAAACATTTTTGTTTATTAGCCTTATGCCTTCCAGAGTGTTAATGGAGATCTACCAAAATGAATACCTCGGAGTCGGATCAACTGGTGAAGTAAAGGGCAAACTTTAAGAGCATTAGCCTTCGTTTCATCGTTGTCTACTTGTTTAGTGCGATTTCCAGAGCCGTGATAGACAGCAGTCCGGACCCCTAAATTTGGTCAGGCCGTCGGCTGACTACAGTTATCTCTATAGGAAAGCTTCGGCATTCTCCTCGAAATCGAACCTATATGTAGAGTCACCACACAGATAACCCTTCCGTACGGAGTTGAAGTCTGAACTAACAGCGCCTAGCAAAGAAACTCGATGTTGCAGGCGAGTCAGTAAGAACGGGTCCCGGACGCTTCTGCTGTGGAATCGACTGGCATGGTGTGCATTTCTGCGATGCGTAAGTATGGCTAACCTTAACTGAGCGGCTACGTCGGGACAGCTTCAAATCAGCACTTGTCAGAACATCAGATCTTTTCAACTTCGTCCACGTACACAGGCACAGATAAGAAGTCAAAATAACACACAAAACTCAATAAATTAACCATAACTTCTGGGAAGACGGGTTGCCCGGGAAGACGGGTTGCCCGTTAGCCTAGCTGCTGGCTACCCGGTGCGTCCACAGGTGGCGGATAGTGGGACGACCTTCAGTGAAGGTTAGCTGCGAAATAAGCAGACCCAGGTCTGACGAATAAGCAGTCGCGGACCAGCAGCGACATTGCTACCAGGGTGCGGTGGGCTGAAGTCTGGCACGCTAAAAGCCTTATAAAATGCCGCAAAACCCAATGACGGCATTGTGACATGGCGACCGTAAACCGCCATTAAATAAGTATACTAGCCATCGTTGCCTTGTGGTTAGGTTTTTAAGCCAAAGCGCTAGAGGAGACAACCTCGAACAAACAATCCGAGCGGCTGTTGGGGACCCGCCCGTATTCGAAATTCCCAAGAAACCTCATGAAACATGTCCGATTACAGTACTACGACCCATTCTACGGCGTCCGCGGGAACCGACGCGCTCCGCAACCCTGGTCCAGTGGTGCGGGCGAATAGTATGCGAGCTGGACTACTCAATCGTGGACGGACTCTCGGTATTGGATGCTGGAATGTACGAACGTTCCTGGACCCTGGTACCCAAAGTCTGACCGCACGCAGCCTTCATCAGTACAATGTGGATGTCTGCTGTCGGTCTGAGGTAGGACTTCCTGACTCAGGCTCCCGTGAAATAAAGATCCCGGGAGTCGAATCACACTTCACCCTGTACCACAGCGGCCCCCGCGATTCCTCTGGTCGACACGGTGTGGCGATCGCCCTATCACAACAAGCGGACCTCGCGCTACTTGCTTGGGAACCAGTCAATGACCGGATGGCCTACGTGCGACTGAAGGGTCACTTCACGAACATCTCCATTGTTGCTGTGTACGCACCAACTTCGGCTGCCGAACAGCGCGATAAAGAGGCGTTTTATTCTCAGTTGCAAGCGCTAGTTGAAAGACTGCCTCGCCGCGATCTTCTGATTGTTGCTGGCGTTTGGAATGGTCGAACTGGACCTGGAGACCCCACAACCAGTCATGTTCTTGGCCGCTTTGGGCTTGGTTCCCCATGTGAAAACGGTGACAGATTGCTGAACTTCGCAGATCAAAACCGACTGCTTGTCACCAACACATGTTTCCAGCATCGCAAAAAACATCTGCTGACCTGGTATTCAAACGACGGTCGTACGGCCAGTCAGATTGACTACATACTAGTTAGCTCAAGGTTCCGCAGCTGGGTTCACGATAGCAGATCGATGCGTGGTGCCGAGACTGGTAACGCCCATGGGTCGGACCATGTCCTCGTCCGTACACGCCTGAAAGCTTATCTCTCATCCACACCAAAAATGCCACGTCCTAGACGCCTCAATGTCGCAAAAATCCGGCAAGCCAGCACTGCCGAGGCCTTAAGCAGAGAAATCCGGACCTGTTTTACGACCCGAGCCGACGGAGAAGTCAGTAACCAGTGGTCGTCACTGAAGACCTCAGTCTATGGGGCAGCTGAGAAAATCCTTGGATACACCCAGCGACGCCACAGTGACTGGGTCAGCGGAAGAACCCTGCAGTCGTCTGCTCAGACGGCTAGAGCCAGGTCCTGCAACGATAATTACTTCCGCCAACTTCGGAAGATGACGGCAAAATCGGCCAGGGATGACCGGAAGCAATAATGGGCCGAAATAGCGACATCCATGGAACAGGCCTCGAACGTTGGTGACACTCGAAAGCTCTACCGTCTGATCCGCCAAGTTAGCGGTAAGCCCTCTACACTGAGTGACTCTGTTTGCGATGTGAACGGCGGCTTTGTTGCTGACAACTCGGCCAAAGTCGAGCGCTGGCGTGAGCACTTTGAGCACCATCTCAACTTCGATACCCAACCTACATCGCCCTTGCTCTCCACCTCAGCGGAGTTTCTTCCCCCTCCTACCTATGCAGTGCCATGCGATCCCCCCTCCGAGGAAGAAGTCGCCGATGCCATACGAAAGTTGCGCAACAATAAGGCACCCGGAGAGGACGGTATACCCGCTGAAATCTTCAAGTGTTGTGTCGACACCCTGGCGCCCTGGCTCCATGAGGTGCTTGAACGAGCTTGGAGAGACGAGGTTGTTCCTGATGACTGGGGCTTAAGCATCCTTGTACCTATCCACAAGAAGGGAAATAAGACGAGATGCGAGAACTACCGCGGCATAAGGCTCATCGACGTTGCTGCGAAGATCTTCGCTATTGTCCTACTCAGGCGATTCCAGGCTGTGCGTGACTCAAGGACGAGGCCCAACCAAGCCGGATTTCGTGCTGGACGTGGATGTGCAGATCAGATATTCACACTGAGGCGCATTCTCGAATTTCGCCATAGCTACCAACAACCGACGGCCGTCTGCTTCATTGACTTTGCCGCCGCGTTCGATTCCGTTCACCGTGAGTCCCTGTGGCGGATAATGAAATTAAATGGTGTACCGGCAAAAATCATCGCCATGATCAAGGCCTACTATCGCTCCACTACTGCGAGTGTCCTGGTCCGTAACAATCTTTCCCAACCGTTCGGTATTCGGTTGTATCCTGTCACCCATACTGTTCAACTACGCTATTGACTGGATCCTCGGGAGGGCCCTACACGAGAGTGACGGCGTTGAGTTTGCTCCCGGACATCGACTGACTGATCTCGACTATGCCGATGATATCGCCTTACTTGCTTCAAGTTTTGGTGATCTGCAGTCTATGGTGTCACGGGTGAAAGAGGTCGCTCAATCAGTCGGTTTGTCCATAAACGCTGGGAAGACCAAAGTATTCTCAAGCTGCATCCCTGACCAGGAGAAGGTACCCCTGGGGATTGATGGCTGTCAACTTGAAGAAGTGGACAGTTTTAAATACCTCGGGGCGAGGCTGCTGCCTAATGGACAGAGTAAGGAAGACATTGTCTCCCGAATCGATGCTGTCCGCTGGGTTTTTTCAAGCCTTCGGAAATGCCTGTGGAAGCGACGTGACCTCTCCATCGCCACTAAGATTCGCGTGTACCGTGCATCTGTCCGGTCTGTCCTTCTCTACGGTTGTGAATGCTGGGCTTTGCGCGTGGAGGATGAGCGAAAACTGGAGGTATTTGACCACCACTGCTTGAGGATCATCCTTCGAGTGAAGTTAACCGACTTCGTCTCAAATGAGATAGTCCGCGCTCGCCGCGATAACATCGAAAGGATAACTCAGGCCATCCAAGAAAGACGACTGAGGTGGTTCGGGCATGTTCTTCGTCGTCCACCTCAGGAGCTCAGTGTTACTGCCCTCGATCCGGCACCGTTGCCCCATTGGAGGCGTCGAAGAGGGGGTCAGTTCAAAACCTGGCTCGACACTGTCCGTCAAGACATGGAGGTGGTTCTTGGACCTTCGGTATTCGGTCTCCGTCGTTGGCAAAGGGAATGGGTTGAGCTGTCTAGATCTGCTGCCGCGGATCGTCACGCGTGGAGAGGTACAGTTCGGGATATCATCAAGGCCGGCTAGATCAGACATGATCGCAGTCGTATCAAGTACAAGTAAGTAAGTAACTTCTGGGATACTTTTGTACAACAAGGACAGGCGTGGCGGTGAAAGCAGCAGAACAAGGCAGTCAGTTACCAACGGTAGCCGGATGCTATCGCTTCTCACTTAGAAAACACCGTCTGACAGGCTACACGGAACCCACCTTAAGAGCTCCACCCAGCATTTGCCATTTCTGAGGAAATTGGTTTACTTGGCGCCTCTCACTACTTGCGCAATGATTCCCCATGAAGAAGGAGGCAAGGAATCGTCTGCTCAACGCATTATATCCCACCGTTGAGGCACTTCATCTCCCTCCCCCCCCCCCAACGGCATGAACATAAAATATAAAGACATGCCTGGCGTTTTTGGGCTTATGAGGCTCCTTTATGTGTGTCATCAGCATCCGAAGTTAAGGTCCAGACTTAACAACTATGACGTTTCCAACATTGTTATGAAGATATAAAAAATATAGTCCTCGGCGTTCAGTAATAACTTCGGATAATTGACCAAAGATGTCCGTGGTATTGCTGTGTTAGTTGGAAGCACTGCTTCGCGGCCGAATCGCAGTGCAGCACAAACCTCGACCTAGAAGCACACCTCGCATAGACAGATAACGTCCACATTTCACTTTAAAACGCTGACGCGGTAAACCTTGATTTGCCGATGTGAGGACTCATATTCTACCCAGCTGCCACAACCCTGGGCGTGAGGACGTCGTCACAGCTAAAATTCGGGGTTGAGGGATTTGCACATCGCTGGGAGTTAACCGGTGGATATGCTTTCGGCCTACTGGTAGTGGACTTAACCTTTACATAGATGTCAATCCGCAACACAGTGGTGGCAACTCTGTTAGTTTTTTCCGTGATCTGCCTCTGAAACTTTGCAATGTAGGAGTTTTGTCAAGCCTTAAGCCTTGCACTTTGCTACCGGTTATTGCTGCTCTGCAATTGATCGGTCGGAAAACGGAATCTTGTTTGTCTTGCAAGTGACCTCACCAAAACCATCCCCACTGTCCGCAATTCAAGGACGCGTTGGACAGCCAATAGGTAGTCCAAAGGGCGGGCCCCTAACTTCCGACGTTTCCGTCTTCCTGGGGCCTCATTGACCCGAACTGTATGCCCTTACAGATAGCAATACAAATGTCACTAGTTTGTTCACAAAAGAGAGTAGGCGTCACGGTTGTTCAACCTGAACTTGGACTGTACATTCGAAGCAACTAGATGGTTGAGTAGCAATAAAGGATGGTGGGTGAAATACGTGGCCATCTGGTCAAGAAAGGGAATGGGACGCGTGAACTGAAGGCACCAGAAAGGAACATCTAGAATTCTAGTGCCTAACAATTAACATCCGCTGCTCGACGAAAGGGGCTTCTAATTCCTCTATTTAGTTTAATAAAGTGCGAGTAAAGCAAAAAATATAGTGCGCTTCAGAGTCTACTAAAATAAATCTGTTAGTAAACGTAATTAAAAAGTTGTAAACAAGATAAGAAAAAGTAAGTCCAAACGGCTTGATCGTAATTATCGCTAAGGTGCCAGCAACAAGGCCTTGTAGAATTCGCAAACAAGACCCTGCCACAAATTGCACCCAAAATTGCCCACCCCATGCGCTTCTCAAGTATTATTGGCTGTTTCGGATACAACATCAAGCACCTCAGCCGGTCATTAAGGCAAAAGTCAAGGCGCATAATCATCTGAGAATCAAAAACTAGTATATCTTGTTGTGTTCTTATTTCAGTTTATCTAAATGTGAGGCCCAAAATGATACTCTGGGATTTTGAACGGAGAAGAAAGGAGGTTGAGACAGTGGAGCCAAAACCTTAGGCGGAGAAATAAGCCAGAGCGAAGATGCGAAATGTTGAATAATGCTGCTAAAATGAGAACTGTTGTATTTTGAAAATGGGACTAAAGGCGGGACAGGGACGCTTAGGAGTAAAGTCCTGAGTATGCAAGGACTCATCAGAACGGCCAAGAACATGTCGCTCTTGCTTACTTCAGTATACTTTGGCGTTTTTGAGTGGGATGGACAGTCTCTAGGCGCTCTGCCTGAAATTTGGGCAGAAAGGTTTGCAACTTAGGATCGGTGCGACTCCAAAATGACTTCCGCTGCATTAATAATGATCGCAGGCTTATGGTGAAAGGGGGAACTGGAAGGCGGCACTCGCAGTAATGTAAGATAATACGAGCAGTGATACAAGCCCGAGTAAGTGGGAAAAAATACGAGCATTTATTTAATATAGCGGCGTATCGTGCCTATTTGACTTGTACTTTTCAAATAAATGTGCATCCAGTCTACGCTTAGGTCTCTCTGCTGTTTCTGTTATTATTGCGCCCTTGGGAAGTCCGTGCCAGTCACTGTTTGCCCACAACAAAAAGTAACGTGAACAAAAATTGAAGCAAAAAATGATCCCTCGAGGTCCGAGAGAGTTCCTGTGTAGGTTTTTTGTAGTTCCTGTATGTGTCATTAATTGTAAGTGGCGAAGATCGCCTTCTTGGCACAAATGCTCAGTCATGGTGGCTGGCGACAACCACTAACCGAACTAAGTATTGACGGTGCTGACATAAATTTGCCTAAAGTTAGAAAGCATCTGGATGTATAATACTCTAAGAGTCTCAATCGTTTAGAGCACTGCGCCCTGATAGTCTCCAAAGCACGCAGAAAGACCGAGTCTATCCTACAAAATTTTAAAACTGACAATATCAGAATGCGCCTTTATAGTATTTACGTTAGACCTGGCTTGGAATACTGTTCCACCTCTTAGTCGTTTGTATGCTGCAGAGCAGAAAAAAGGAATCCCTCCGACATTTTGTCACCAAGAGAGCCCTAATATCGGAACGCCGTTACTTGGTCTACCAAAAACGCTGCGTGTTTATTGACCTTCACCCCTTGTGGTTTCGTTGACTACTAAAAGGGACTATCTTTACGGATTAAGCTTTCTAACCATCGTACTTTCGACCTGCTTACTACCTTAAAACATCTTGGACACCCCGAACGTAATAGTCACCAGGATGTCTTTTTGCTCCTTCATCTGGTACGTACCGTTAAATATCGTCATTCCTTTCCTGTGAACGCAGTTGCAATTTGGACGAAATTACCCGGAAACGCAAAAAAACTCTGCGAAATTATTTTCATTTTAAATGTAATATTACTCGTCTTTTGCACTCAAAAAATCTCCAGCATATTCTGGGCGCTGAATCAGCCGAATTAATCTACCGTAGTGATGGAGGTCGTAGGCCCTGATCCCTTTGGTGAGTGTCACCACATGAGAAATGGTGCTGGCTTTACAGCCCGCAACACTAGGGTCGTTTTCTTCAACTGGCAGCAAGCAACTGTTCTTCAGTGCTTTTGTTTGTTCCGGTCCCAATTTCATTAGTAGTAATGGACGCTGGAATACTCGATACAGTGTTAACCATCCTTTCTGGACTAACGTCACTTCAAGGGCAGCGCTTTTTTCTCCTGAACCATCCAAATTATACAAAAAACGCCATCCTCTTTGTTTACTCCTTCGAAGATTTTTTGGCTGTTATCCCTATCCATGCTTTATCATTATATGGCAACGCCTGTTACCTAGCATCATATATTATTATTGGACTAGTGCAAAACAGGGAGTTACAAAGTTGTATTACGTTACAACGGGTATCCTTGTTGTCGTGCTCAAGGCAAAGAAGTCATAGAGGTGCAGGGCACTGTCCCAGTTCCTCACAATCCGGTACTTATGTATGAGATCTCCTCGAATCTGCCTGTACCCAAGAGGAAATAATCTAAGCTCGTTTATCCTGCAGCCGTAGGGCAAAGTCATAAGGCATTTTACAGTTTTGGTCGCCCTCTCGTGAACTCTTTCCAGCAACTTGTAGTCGTTTTTTAGCCAGGCGCATCGCGCTTGGATTCCATATCCCACTTGCGATTGAATAAACGCTCCGTAAGTTTGTTCAATGATGAAGAGAACACTAATTGCCCTTTCGTCCGTCCTTACTTATTGAGAGGTGGGCTTAAGAGACTTCAAAATGTTGATCTTAAGGTCTTTTGTCCGGTAACATTTGAAAAGCACCTTCCTCCTAGGAGGCATTAGTACTCCTCTCCATTTGCTCTCTCCTTTTTGATTCGCAGTAAGACACATTTCTTAAGGCCAAAATGTGACAGCCATTTGTTGGACCATTGACAGAGATGGTTTAGTCCTTCATGCAAGGTCTGTTCATAATTTTCCTCGTTGATCGTTCGCCATAAACTGATTTCATCGGCAAACATGACCCCATTTCACTCCAGTTCATTCGTTAAGCCATTGACATAAATTAAAAACTGTGCTGGTCAGAGCTCAAAGCCCTGAGGTACTTCACTCACAACTGACACTGGTACTGATTTCTCACTGCCAGTGCCCACAGACTGTGATGGGTCGGTCAAGAAGTCCTCTACTCAGTTTACTAGGTTCCCCAATGTACCCGACTCTCAGACTTTCTAGAGTAGCCGGCGGTTTGGAACACTATAAAGGCTTTCTTGAAGACGATGCAAACAACATCGACTCTTGGACTTTCGTCTAACGAGCGGAACCACTGCTTCATTAAATAGAGCACAATGGTTAAACAAGAGTGATTTCGCCAAAAGCCAAGTTTTTATACTATCAAGGAGATCCTTCTCTTCAAGAGCATCATAATAGCTTTTCATAACTATTTTGTCCAAAATTTGCGACAAATGAACGTCGGGCTGTCCGGCCGATAATTGTAAGCACTTTTTCTGGACCCAATCATGTGAATGGGATATATATTCAGCACCTTCCTATCAGCGGGGAAAATGCGTCAGTCAAAAAGCGACCATAAAATATGCAAAAGCGGTATGGCGAGTTCGAAGCTAGTTCCTTTAAAACTTTTGCCTGTATTTAGTCCGGACCCGGAGACTTACACTCCTTGTGCGCTAAAATTTTCCCCCTCACATCTTCTATGAAATCGATGCTTTCCATTATTGTATGTATGTATGTATTGAAGGGTAAGAGG